GGTTACAAACCTTTATAGCAAGCTGCGCGTCGTGATCTAGAAAGAACTGTATCAGTGTCAGTGCATCTTCCAACTAATGATAAAGAAGTTACTTTGTCACGTAGGCATTATTGTGATGGCGAGATCATTGATGGTTCTTATTTTCGAAGTATTTCTATTGGTAATGTTGTTTTACAGGTTGGTCAGAGAAACTCTTGTTTTATGACAATTGACGGAAATATATTTGTATTGTTAAATGTGAAAAGACGAGAAGATATATACCTAATTACAAACAAGTTTAACAAAAAAGATTTTTATACATATCCTTTCCCTTCATCTTTTGTTCGTATTTTTAAAGTGTCAAATTTGGGTGACCAAAGAATTGTACTGCCATTGACAAATATTCAATCAAAATGTTGGTTAATACCCTACAAAAATTTTTTTGTTTCTATTCCTCTTTTGCATTCTATGCCTATGTTTTAATTTTTTATATTTTTCTTTATACTTGTATTTCAGTTTGTCGTTTTAAAATTTTTACCTGACGATCTCAACAATGATAATATTTGCTACGATATCGGCCTTACAAAGTGGTTGATTGAAGTGAATGAAAATATGGAAGGTGAGACATATTGGCCACCGCGTAATGTTGAAGCTGGAAGCTTGGTCCGTAAAGAAGTAAATGCAGACGAAACTTGGCCCAAATATCGTGTACATGTTAAAAGATATCACGGTATGTTTGTTTTTATTTATTCAAATTTTTCTCCTTTCTCCAAATTTGAAAAGGTTTAAGTTGAAAAATATTTTTACTTTTTTTCCAGATTTGAATAATCAGTTATCTAAGATAGACAGGAAATTGGAGGACTTAAGTTGCAAAATAAATACAGTTATAACGAATCAAGGAAAACTATACAAATGTTTGCTTCCTCAGGAAAAGAAAATACTGGAACCACATAACATGCCTTCTTTGCCTTTTTGTAACAAATTTTAGTGTGATTATCTTACCTCTTTTGGATCTGCTAGTGATGAAAGAAAAACTGCTACCATAATTTTGCAAAAACTTATGTATAATTCTTTGGCCAAAAATTATAATTTTGATGGCCATGGTGAGAAAAGAGGCTTAAAAACACTGAAACTGTGGACAGTTATTGAAGGTAAGATTCTAATGTCTTGTTAGTTTGCTTTCTAGTTAATATTGTCTTATTATCTTTTTTGCAAATTTGGAATACTTTATATACCAACAAACTCTGAAATAATAATCCTATAATTTTGATATACATTATACTTACTGTACTGAATTAGTGTACTAAATTACTGTACACTACTGTGTTTATATCCTTGTTGCGGATATATTCTTTAATTTATTTTTGTTGTTTAACTTAATATGGATGTCTTATTTTTTAATAATTTAATTATTTCTTGTTTTGCAGGGGCTTTGTCACTTAAATTTCCGGACAGCGACCTTGATACAGCACTTAAAACCATAAAGTCATGGCTACAAAATGCTAGCGGTAGGAAACAAGAGGAATATATTGGTTCTGATAGCCATTAGAAAAACATTTCTTGCTTTTGTTACGGAGATCTCAGAGAGTCGGCGAGTCTCGAAGGCGAAACTTCTGCGCGAAGTGGTGGAAGAAATCAACCGTGATCCGCAACACCTTATGCTGACGACGGATTATATTCTCATTGTATATTCGCCGTTCCCTTCGATCATACCTGTGACAGGATTGCTAAACCACTCTTTAAATTCGCGATGAGACTGGAAAACGTTAGGCATAAGAAAGTGCATAAGCGACCACAGTTCGGTTAAATTATTTTGAAGAGGTGTGCCGGTAAAAAGTAATCTCCGTTGTGTCTAGAAGTTTAAAAGCAACTGCCATCTCTGCGATTTGAAATTCTTGATATTTTGCGCCTTTTTTTTTATAAATATGATATGTGCCGAAACTGAAAATCGCTTTCTTCTTTGCAGTGAAAGCACTCCGTATCTATACCGATAACTATTTTTAAAAAGCTGTCAGTAACTATCTCGAAATTGCATACTTTTAAGTAGACGTTTGCAGAAATGTCGATGAGAATTACGCGTTACATGCTCACGATTATTAATAAAATAACAGCACAAATACAACAATATTCATGCTGATAATTTTCTACCAATTTAATTATTACGTTGAAAAGGAGATGGTCGATGGTTACGTTTGATTACATTGCAAAGAGTTGTTGCA